AACAGCCCGCACCTTTCACAACGAATGGCGCGGTGGTTGTCATTCTTTGCAGAATACAACTTTACGGTCGAGTACAAACCAGGACGACTTAATGTCGTCGCTGATGCACTCTCACGTCGTCCCGACTTTGAAACAGTCGCGAAACCCAACAGTGAGACAGTCACTGTTGCGGTTATGACGTCCTCAGTTCCATCTACAACGTTGTATGATGATGTGAGGCGGGCATACGCCCAAGATGGTGAGATAGTGAAGTTGTTGTCACATCTCTCCCAACCATCTCGAGAATCGTTGAAACGATTGTCGTCTGCGTATCGATCTGCATCAGATCGATACACTACTCGTAACGGTTTACTGTACTATACAGCCGTTTCTGGTGACACACCACGTGTTGTCATTCCAGATGATACTGATCTGCGTTTGCGGATCATGTTCGAGTATCACGATGCTCCTATAGGAGGACATCGTGGCCGAGAGAAAACATATCTCACGGTAAGTCGAGACTTTTACTGGCCCCGCCAGTATCAGTTTGTGCGAAAGTATGTTCGCGCATGCGAAGTCTGCCAACGAGTGAAGTCAAGTCCTTCACTGCGTGCACCTTTACAGCCTCTACCGGTTCCGGCTGAGTGCTGGGAATCCATCTCAATGGATTTCGTCTTCGGGTTACCCAAAGACGCACGCGGGAATACGGGTATTCTCGTATTTGTTGACAGATTCAGCAAAATGGTACACCTTGTGGCTGTACCAGAGACAATCACGGCAAGTGGCTGTGCTTGTGTCTTTATTGACACCATCTTCCGACTTCATGGGTTGCCCCGTGAACTCGTATCAGACAGAGATCCACGATTCACTGCTGATTTCTGGCGTTCCGTGTTCAAATCACTCGGAACGCGCTTGAAGATGTCAACATCTGATCATCCAGAGTCAGATGGTCAGACGGAACGTGCCAATCGTGTCCTTGAAGAGATACTTCGAGGATACGTACACTCCTTTAAGAGTTGGAGTGAGTTTTTGCCAATGGTAGAGTTTGCCATCAACAACTCGGTGCATGCGTCCACGACGCATACACCGTTTTACGTGAATGGCTTGCGCCATCCGCGTGTACCCACCTTACTAGAGTGTAACTCTGGTTTAAGGGGGAGGGACTCGCGCGAGCAAAAACCGATTTGGTTCACGCTCATCACGCTCTGACGAAGAAGTCATTGCGTTTGATGCCGATATCGATAACATCGATATCGAAGAAGATGATGCCAGTGAGAGTGCGGAAGCCCTCACTGAAGACAATGATGCCAGTGAGAGTGCGGAAGCCCTCACTGAAGAAAAGGTTGTTGTTGCTGCAGTGCGCTCACAGCACACTGAAGCTAACGAGTCATCAGATGAGTTCATACTGGCTCGTGAAACGGTAGTCCGTTTTGTGCAAGACTCCATCGCCGAAGCGGTGGATAAGCAAAAAGCAAAACGCTGACAAGAATGGAAGGGCAAACACTCTTTTATTTAATAAAGGTGACTTAGTCCTACTGTCTACGGTTAATCTACCAAAACATGTAGTGACTAACTTGGGTAGCAGTAAACTACTACCCAAGTACATTGGCCCATTTCGTGTATTGCACCGCCTAGGCAATGCATACACGATCGAGTTACCACGTAAGATGCGAACGCATCCCACGTTTTACGTTGGTCGGCTTAAGCCGTACCATCAGTACGCTGCTTCTTCCGATGAAGAACGCCCTTGCGCTCAAGCATCTCGCAGAGAGCCTTGTGCTCCCGATGGTGGGCATCAACAAGGGTCTGAAGAGCAGTTATCTCAGCCCGAGACCGATCAACAATCCCACGAGCTACCCTTAGCTCGTCACGAAGAGATGTCAGAGATCTCTCGTTCTCAAGCTGAGCAAAGGCAAACTCAGCTCGATGCTTCGAGGCAGTGTCCACCATCTGGAGACGCCTATTCCGCTCATGCTCGAGATCGTCGCGTAACCCTTGCGTTACGCGATCAAAAAGCTCTCGGGAACACACCGATCCACATGATCGTGTGGAGAGCGTCTTTCCTCCTCCTCCACCTCCATTAGAGGACTCTCGCGGTGGCCAGCGCTATCTAGTAGAGCAGCTGTTGAACCACCGCGACGTGAACGGACGTCGGACGAGTTACCTCGTCCGGTGGCGCGGCTATCCCCCGTCCTGGGATTCTTGGGAGCCCCGCTCCCAATTGATGGTTGACGTACTGGGTCTGGTCGAGCAGTACGACGCGACACATCCTGTGCCGCAGAAGGACCGCCGGAGAAAGTCTTCCCGGCACGGTCGTAAAGGGATTTCAGGTTGTCAATCCCTTCGTACATCTCAGTAGAGACACGTACGCGCCACCACGGGCTGGTAAGGAGGTAAGCCTCCTTAGGTGCTCGTGCAGAGTTGTTCACACAACATGGGCACGAGTCTCCCCAAGAGAGGCAGGGTAATCCTTTCTCCCTTGACAGACGATGCAGCTTATAGCGTGCACCTGTCGGGGTTCGCTTTTCAAACTTATCACGAGCTTTGATAAGTTTGTCGTTCCAAGCGTCACGACCTACATCCTCGAGATTATGGATGTAGGCGTTCCACGCCTGAAGTAGTGAGGGACCATCACGTTTGTGATTCCCACTGTACCATCGATGTCTGAAGAAAGCATCGATGAAGAACTCATGTTCAGCGCGATAGTCTTTCGCGCTGGGGTCAAGGTGATGGATCCTTGACGAATCGAACAATCGTGTTCGATAACGATCACTCGTCGTCGCCGACAAGTGATCCATGACAGATTTAGGAGGCATCCATGCCTTCTTTTCTGGAGCGAGACGCAACACATTGCGGTCCCGCTCTTCCTGCGACGTGCCGACAGAAGTACTGGCACCTCGCTGTGAAGTGGTGTCCATTGGAGAAACGACACCACTATTAGCGCCCGAGTCTCGCGACCTCGAGCGCCTTCGCTTCGGCGATGGTTCATCTGACTCATCAGATGAACCAAAGATGCTGCGACGCAAAGCATCGTCCATGCCACGCTTGGCAGGCGGCTTGGATTCAATTGCCGTCGATACGGATCCGTCATCCGTATCAGGAGAGTACGAGACACCGAGCTCGTACTCTGTGAAGACACGAGTGTCTTCATGACCAGCGCCTGCATCACCAGGTGATACAGGCTGAGTCGATTCAGCAACCGATGGGACATCAGTTGCTGTAGTTTCTGCTTCGGCGTCCGCACAGAGACGTGCAGACGCGCTCTCGGCGGCCTTGCTCGCGCATCGCATGGGCTTGTTTACCATGCGATGAAATGTTGGAAAGTGGACGCGGACCAACAAGTGCAAACCCCGTCCCAAATGATTTGGGACGAGTATCCATTTAGTCAATCAGTCACTAAAGTGACTGATGGTTAAGGGGGGTGATGTAACGGGGTGAATCGTTACATAACAATTTATAAGAAATTGTTAATAGAATATAACTATAAGAGTTATATTCTCAGAATATTGTCATAAGGACAAATATTCTGTAGCACTTCCAAGTAGTTCCTAATTGGTTGATATAGGCCATTATATCAACCAACGAAGACGCGCCACGACAGACGCACGCAATGAGTGGTGAGCAGATAACTGATTTACACATTTGTATTTAGACATAGTTAGATGAAGATAAATAGTGATTTATTGCAGACATTAACTATTATAAATACAGTTCTACTTTTTACTCTAACCGAGTACTCGCTTCTTCTTACCGTCTTCCTCTGCACGTACGAGTGTACGTGAAGTTACGAGGCACCGCCTTATTCTGTTATCAGAATAAGTAGCTTGTACTGTCACCAGTACAAGCTTCAGGGTGCCCCGTTACAGTAATGATAGACCTGCGGAGAAATCGTGAGTTTTACACATTTTCAGAGTGAGATGATGAACCCGCAGATGGCCGTTTATAGTCCCAAACATGTGTCTTAACATCCCGATTCATCCGCTACCTCAGGTACCGCTTAGTACCATTGCCACGAAATCTCCGGAAGAATGGTCAACCTCAGGCGCCGCGTCTTTTTTGGTCGTGACTCCAGTCTTTGGCAAAGTTAGTGCCGAAGCTTTTGGAACGCTGGCATCGTTGTTGTCGACATTATTTGAGGATGTAGCTGGGTTGGCAAATTCCCTCAGCTTTTTCGTTTATTTGAGATGGACGCTGAGCTCATAAGCGAGTAGTGGACCTTAGAGCAAACTTGTCTGGCGATCGATAAAGCGCATTGTCTTGCTACTGATGTTGTTTCCAGCAAAGTGAGTAGTGCGTATAAATTTGCGATGAGTTGGCACTGGGTGTAGCTCGAGCTAGAAATTTACTGAACAGACATCGCATGTTCCAATTGTAACGGGGCACCCTGAAGCTTGTACTGGTGACAGTACAAGCTACTTATTCTGATAACAGAATAAGGCGGTGCCTCGTAACTTCACGTACACTCGTACGTGCAGAGGAAGACGGTAAGAAGAAGCGAGTACTCGGTTAGAGTAAAAAGTAGAACTGTATTTATAATAGTTAATGTCTGCAATAAATCACTATTTATCTTCATCTAACTATGTCTAAATACAAATGTGTAAATCAGTTATCTGCTCACCACTCATTGCGTGCGTCCGTCGTGGCGCGTCTTCGTTGGTTGATATAATGGCCTATATCAACCAATTAGGAACTACTTGAAGTGCTACAGAATATTTGTCCTTATGACAATATTCTGAGAATATGACTCTTATAGTTATATTCTATTAACAATTTCTTATAAATTGTTATGTAACGATTCACCCCGTTACATCACCCCCTAACCATCAGTCACTTTAGTGACTGATTGACTAAATGGATACTCGTCCCAAATCATTTGGGACGGGGTTTGCACTTGTTGGTCCGCGTCCACTTTCCAACATCTCATCGCATGGTAAACAAGCCCATGCGATGCGCGAGCAAGGCCGCCGAGAGCGCGTCTGCACGTCTCTGTGCGGACGCCGAAGCAGAAACTACAGCAACTGATGTCCCATCGGTTGCTGAATCGACTCAGCCTGTATCACCTGGTGATGCAGGCGCTGGTCATGAAGACACTCGTGTCTTTCACAGAGTACGAGCTCGGTGTCTCGTACTCTCCTGATACGGATGACGGATCCGTATCGACGGCAATTGAATCCAAGCCGCCTGCCAAGCGTGGCATGGACGATGCTTTGCGTCGCAGCATCTTTGGTTCATCTGATGAGTCAGATGAACCATCGCCGAAGCGAAGGCGCTCGAGGTCGCGAGACTCGGGCGCCAATAGTGGTGTCGTTTCTCCAATGGACACCACTTCACAGCGAGGTGCCAGTACTTCTGTCGGCACGTCGCAGGAAGAGCGGGACCGCAATGTGTTGCGTCTCGCTTCCCGAGAAGAAGGCATGGATGCCTCCTAAATCTGTCATGGATCACTTGTCGGCGACGACGAGTGATCGTTATCGAACACGATTGTTCGATTCGTCAAGGATTCATCACCTTGACCCCAGCGCGAAAGACTATCGCGCTGAACATGAGTTCTTCATCGATGCTTTCTTCAGACATCGATGGTACAGTGGGAATCACAAACGTGATGGTCCCTCACTACTTCAGGCGTGGAACGCCTACATCCATAATCTCGAGGATGTAGGTCGTGACGCTTGGAACGACAAACTTATCAAAGCTCGTGATAAGTTTGAAAAGCGAACCCCGACAGGTGCACGCTACAAGCTGCATCGTCTGTCAAGGGAGAAAGGATTACCCTGCCTCTCTTGGGGAGACTCGTGCCCATGTTGTGTGAACAACTCTGCACGAGCACCTAAGGAGGCTTACCTCCTTACCAGCTCGTGGTGGCGCGTACGTGTCTCTACTGAGATGTACGAAGGGATTGACAACCTGAAATCCCTTTACGACCGTGCCGGGAAGACTTTCTCCGGCGGTCCTTCTGCGGCACAGGATGTGTCGCGTCGTACTGCTCGACCAGACCCAGTACGTCAACTATCAATTGGGAGCGGGGCTCCCAAGAATCCCAGGACGGGGGATAGCCGCGCCACCGGACGAGGTAACTCGTCCGACGTCCGTTCACGTCGCGGTGGTTCAACAGCTGCTCTACTAGATAGCGCTGGCCACCGCGAGAGTCCTCTAATGGAGGTGGAGGAGGAGGAAAGACGCTCTCCACACGATCATGTGGATCGGTGTGTTCCCGAGAGCTTCTTTGATCGCGTAACGCAAGGGTTACGCGACGATCTCGAGCATGAGCGGAATAGGCGTCTCCAGATGGTGGACACTGCCTCGAAGCATCGAGCTGAGTTTGCCTTTGCTCAGCTTGAGAACGAGAGATCTCTGACATCTTCTCGTGACGAGCTAAGGGTAGCTCGTGGGATTGTTGATCGGTCTCGGGATGAGATAACTGCTCTTCAGACCCTTGTTGATGCCCACCATCGGGAGCACAAGGCTCTCTGCGAGATGCTTGAGCGCAAGGGCGTTCTTCATCGGAAGAAGCAGCGTACTGATGGTACGGCTTAAGCCGACCAACGTAAAACGTGGGATGCGTTCGCATCTTACGTGGTAACTCGATCGTGTATGCATTGCCTAGGCGGTGCAATACACGAAATGGGCCAATGTACTTGGGTAGTAGTTTACTGCTACCCAAGTTAGTCACTACATGTTTTGGTAGATTAACCGTAGACAGTAGGACTAAGTCACCTTTATTAAATAAAAGAGTGTTTGCCCTTCCATTCTTGTCAGCGTTTTGCTTTTGCTTATCCACCGCTTCGGCGATGGAGTCTTGCACAAAACGGACTACCGTTTCACGAGCCAGTATGAACTCATCTGATGACTCGTTAGCTTCAGTGTGCTGTGAGCGCACTGCAGCAACAACAACCTTTTCTTCAGTGAGGGCTTCCGCACTCTCACTGGCATCATTGTCTTCAGTGAGGGCTTCCGCACTCTCACTGGCATCATCTTCTTCGATATCGATGTTATCGATATCGGCATCAAACGCAATGACTTCTTCGTCAGAGCGTGATGAGCGTGAACCAAATCGGTTTTTGCTCGCGCGAGTCCCTCCCCCTTAAACCAGAGTTACACTCTAGTAAGGTGGGTACACGCGGATGGCGCAAGCCATTCACGTAAAACGGTGTATGCGTCGTGGACGCATGCACCGAGTTGTTGATGGCAAACTCTACCATTGGCAAAAACTCACTCCAACTCTTAAAGGAGTGTACGTATCCTCGAAGTATCTCTTCAAGGACACGATTGGCACGTTCCGTCTGACCATCTGACTCTGGATGATCAGATGTTGACATCTTCAAGCGCGTTCCGAGTGATTTGAACACGGAACGCCAGAAATCAGCAGTGAATCGTGGATCTCTGTCTGATACGAGTTCACGGGGCAACCCATGAAGTCGGAAGATGGTGTCAATAAAGACACAAGCACAGCCACTTGCCGTGATTGTCTCTGGTACAGCCACAAGGTGTACCATTTTGCTGAATCTGTCAACAAATACGAGAATACCCGTATTCCCGCGTGCGTCTTTGGGTAACCCGAAGACGAAATCCATTGAGATGGATTCCCAGCACTCAGCCGGAACCGGTAGAGGCTGTAAAGGTGCACGCAGTGAAGGACTTGACTTCACTCGTTGGCAGACTTCGCATGCGCGAACATACTTTCGCACAAACTGATACTGGCGGGGCCAGTAAAAGTCTCGACTTACCGTGAGATATGTTTTCTCTCGGCCACGATGTCCTCCTATAGGAGCATCGTGATACTCGAACATGATCCGCAAACGCAGATCAATATCATCTGGAATGACAACACGTGGTGTGTCACCAGAAACGGCTGTATAGTACAGTAAACCGTTACGAGTAGTGTATCGATCTGATGCAGATCGATACGCAGACGACAATCGTTTCAACGATTCTCGAGATGGTTGGGAGAGATGTGACAACAACTTCACTATCTCACCATCTTGGGCGTATGCCCGCCTCACATCATCATACAACGTTGTAGATGGAACTGAGGACGTCATAACCGCAACAGTGACTGTCTCACTGTTGGGTTTCGCGACTGTTTCAAAGTCGGGACGACGTGAGAGTGCATCAGCGACGACATTAAGTCGTCCTGGTTTGTACTCGACCGTAAAGTTGTATTCTGCAAAGAATGACAACCACCGCGCCATTCGTTGTGAAAGGTGCGGGCTGTTCACTGCCGTGCGTAAGGACGCATGGTCAGTGTAAACAACGAAGGGTCTATCTCCTAATAGATAGACTCTGAACTTCGCGAGTGCATACTTCATGGCAAGGAGTTCCTTTTCATGCACTGGATAGTTCCGCTCAGCTGGTTGCAGCTGACGCGACTGATAGCAGACGACGCGTTCAACGCCTTCAAGATCGTACTGCATTAATGCACAGCCGATTGCGAAATCACTGGCATCACAGACCACATGAAATGGCCTGTCCTGATTGGCTATTGCTAGGACTGGGGATTGTATCAAGCTCTGCTCGATAACCTCAAAGGAGCGTTGACATTCAGCGTTCCATAACCACCTCTCGTTCTTTTTCAACAAACGAGAGAGGTGTACAGTCATCTCGGCGTAATTGCGTGAATACTTATGCAAATACGCCGCTAGCCCAAGGAATTATCGAAGACCTTTGACATCGACCGGCACAGGCCAGTCGGTGATCGCCTTGATCTTTTCGGGATCAGGACGTACACCGTTCTTACCAACGATGCACCCAAGAAGTGGTATTTCGCTTGCTGCAAATATACACTTCTTGAGGTTTGCATACAATTGATGCTTTCGCATGATTGTAAGAACCTGTCGGACGTGGTACCTGTGAACCTCAACGTCCGACTTTCCATCCATAGCTCGACTATGGATGAATACGTCATCGAAATAACTCGGCGCGAATTCTCGTACTGGCCTCAACAGATGTGATACACACCTGTTGAACGTGGCAGGGGCATTACTGAGCCCTTGTGGCATTACTAGCCATTCCCAGAGCATGCCGCTAGGCGTGCTAACTGCGGTATAGGGTATATCCCGTTCCCGCATTAGGATTTGATAGAAGCCATCCATCAAATCCATGGACGAAAAGATGGTACTCTTTGACATACCATCAATGATTACGTCCTTCCTCGGTATCGGCGTCTGAGCCGGTACCGTTGCAGCGTTCAATTTGTTAAACGCGTGCACTATCCGCCACCCTCCTGTTGCTTTTCGCACACAGAAGGTCGGAGAGCTATGTGGGGAAGTTGATTCCCCTCACATGGCCCGCTGCTAAACGATCGGCAAAGAACTTGTGGATCGCAAGTACTTGTTCACGGGGGGCAGTGGCCACTGCTTCATGACACAGTACTTCGAGCGCCTGGTTTAAGCTCGACTTCGTGTCGAATACCTTTATCCTTCGGTAATTCGCACGGAACAGTTTCAGGGAATACATCCTTGAATTCAACCAAATCTTCATAGAGAGGATTTTCCTTGAGCGATTCCCATGATTGGGACTCATATCGCTCAATTCGTGTCTTTTCATCTAGGACACTCTCGTCCATAGATGAACTACTGAGAACTCTCTCGTTCTCAGTAAACACTGTTGCTGACCTTATGTCGGTTACATACTCGTCTTCAGCGACGAGTATGCAGATCTGCTTGACTTTGCCACTACGCAGATCACGCAAGAATCTTTTATGTTCGAGCGTTGGCAACTGAGTGATCTCCGAAGTTAACTTCGGAGGCGCAATCAGATCAAGTGTATAAGCGCCTACACATGATCCGTTATTGACTATGACATTCAATGTCTCTGTCATTTCCTGGGGACTTATTCCCTCAGGCTTAGAAGGACTTATTCCTTCGTCTTCCCGGGGACTTATTCCCGCGGGTTTCGGGGAACTTATTTCCGCCGTATTTGTAATCTTGGGACTTATTCCCCTTTACTTCCTCTAGCTGGGGTTGCGCAACCACAGCGAGATCCTCTACGAAAGACTCTCCAGTCGATCTAGGATTATCGTTTCGCTTAACCTGAGCGATCGATTGTTTCTCTTCTAGATGTTCCCCTCTAGGGATACATCTTTGTCCCAGTCCACCCGACTTATTCGAGTGGTGGACCTTCGGCGCAGCCTGTGTTTCCTCACAGCCGCCGGAACTTGGCTCCGAAGTGTAACCGTTTGGTACACTAAGGTTTTGTGCAGTCGTACTAACGACCGTACCACAAGTGAGGCCATCGCACTCACTCGTAGTACATCCACACGCTTGTGGACGCTCCAAAACGTTCATCAGATGGCCATCTGATGAACAAGCGGCAGGCATCGTTACTGTCCGATGTTGCCAGTTTACCCGTGGTTCGTACCTTCTGAGCCACGATATTCCAAGGATGACATCAAATTTGTCATCCAAATCCAATACGATAAAGTCATCGTCGTATTGGGTATCTTCTAGCGTATAGTGAATCTTCACTATACGCTTCATGACGGTTACGGATGCGCCTGTCGCAAGACGTACCGTCATCCTCGTAGGAGGTGTGTCACATTCACTGAATTTAAAGTGACCATCTTCTAGCGATTGGCGTCGCACAAAATTGTTGAACGCCCCACAATCGACTAGAGCTCGAAGGGACAACTTGTTCGTCACTTCGAGTTTCAAGGTAATGAGTGAGATCTCATTACCTAGAGCAGCAACGCACAACGTCTGTGTGTTGGGAGCAACCTTCATCAAGAGGCCTACAAATTCTCTTGACGTTGCTGGATCAGTAGGGTGCTCCGCACCTACTGATCCTGTCCGTTTTTTGACGGTCCATCCCGTTGTTGCGTCTTTGCACCAACTGCGGACCCTCGTCCCTGCCCCTTTCTCATGGGTGGACGGTCACTACGCCCAGTGTCGCGAGAGACTGGACGAGGGGCACTACACTCGTAAGCGTAGTGTCCTGTCTTCTGACATCTGTTGCATCTCTGCAACTTCTTGTAGCCTGTAGAGCGAACCTTCTCGCTCTCTACATAACAGAGTTCCATCGGCTCTGGACCTCCGTTGTCATATCGTCTAGGTTGACGATATGATGTCGAGCTGGCGCGAGCCTGTCTCAGACTGAAGTCTTCCTGCTCCGCAATGGAAATGGCTTGTTCTAGTGAATCTAGTTCAAGCCGGAACAGGTGAGTCTTGACGGGACCATCCGCAAGACCCTGCATGAACACCGAAACCAACGTGTGTTCATCCACCGGATTGGAACTTATACAACTCGTGAGATGTCGTATATGTTGAGCGTAAGCGTGCACATCACGCTTACCCTGCTTGAGCTTCAAGAGTTCGGTTCGAGCTCTGAACTCAGCTCTAGGCGGTTCAAACGTTTGTCTGAGCCGCGACTTGAAGACTTCCAACGACCCAAACGCATATGGGTCGTGCAGCTTGAGCCCCAGTGCCCAAGTCTTGGCACGTCCTGCCAGATTTGACTGGGCAAATGCAACTTGCATATCCCCGTCGTCGATGCGACGCGCCCTTATGGCGTCATCCAATTCGACGAACCATCTCAGGAGG